GCAAAGAAAGAAGCTTCTAAACTCAAGGAGTCATTAGATTCCATACAATGAATTTCATGGCGGTAACCGTGACTTCAACAAAGGCATCCATAAGACAAAAATTGAAAGAGAAAGTTTCATATCAACAAACGCGAGAAGTGAAAAATCAATCTACCTTGAAGAAGTTACAAGCAAAAGGTGTATCCCTTTCCTGACTCTGGCGTTTCTATGATTCTTGAAGAGTTGCTAACCAATGAAATCATTTCACCCCCTAAGTCAAAGAGATCCGAAGAATCCAACAAAGTCGAAGTATTATAAATTTCACTGCATTGTTGGTCATCATACCACAAATTATTTCATCCTAAAGGAAAAGATCATGACCGTGATGTGAGAAGGAAAGATCATCATTGATGATGGTGAGACAGCTGATGCAAACCATGTCCATGTCGAACTTGATTATAAAAAAAGGTTCAATTTCAGATTTCTACAACCTCTGCTCCATGTGTCATCATCAAACGTTGAAGAAGGAATCATCATGTTACAGTTTGAGAGCTTTGAACCAAATGAAGTTTTTGTCTTTAAAAAATCTACAAACACATCCAATGTACACGACTTCTCCAATGACAAGAATGGTGACACTTGGACTTTGATAGCCCACCCACAAAAGGCAAAGCATCAAGAGACTTCTAAATTGCGACTTTCAAAAGTCAACACAAGATCAAGTGCTAATCAACTTCAACTACATTAATACTTCATCAAAAAGGGTTAGAGGGATAGTTACATTGATGGAATCTCCCCCAAAATACTTCTCGGTGTATGAGCCTAAATTGTAAGTTGAAATGATTCTCAACATACAAGCCTAAATTACAAGTTAAAAAGCTCTTAGATGCACGAGCCTAAATTGTAAGTTGAAAAGCTTTTTGATGCATGAGCCTAAACTGCAAGTTGAAATGTTGTTGGACTTATGAGTCTAAACTACATGTCATCAAGCTCATCAAGTTTGAAAAAAATAATTAAAAAAATAGGATGCGTCGTTACTTGATAATCACAATACTTCATTCAAATGTGAAAACAAACATTAAAGAAAGGAAAACAATTTGCATTGAAATATAAAAATATTTATTTCTTTAACATTGCAAGAGTTTATTACATCTATGATTAAAACAAGAATTAATTGAAATCCTATACAAAGAGCCTAAAGTCATGTAAATTATTAACTTCAAAGATTTTTTTTGGAGGTTATGATCGCTTCACTTATAAGCTCTCGTAAAAGGGCCCAATTACCATAAGAGGGTGGACAACCTCGCGCAATGATCCATGATAATAAAATTTTATCGATTGGTTGTGGCTCAACACATCTACATCTTGTATATTCTTCGATTTAATCTTCCATATTTGGCAGAGATGTACTCCTTGAATTCTGATATTGTTTTATAAGATTAAACAACTCATGATTTGGATGCTTCAGGCTCAAGATACAGACGTTTTGGCGAGATTGCACAAAGTTGGACAAACGTCTGAGTTAACTTTAATGAAATATATGTGCAAATACAGAAAGTCATTGTGCGTAATTTTTGTAAATAGAGTAGTTCTTGGTGTCCTTCTTTCAATGAAGTAAAAACTTTGAATTATGAATTTTTTACCACAGATGCGCGAAGTTGAAAAGCCAAGCAAAACGGGAACCAATTCATAAATATTCTGGCCTTGGTTTTTAAACATTTAGTAGTTCTTCAAGTTGTCTTTCAAACGGAACAAGAAGCTCATGATTCCAACGCTCCTACTCTGAGTTATGAATGAGCTGAGCAAGACAAAATTGTGAGCTGACTTCGAAGCAATATTTCTACAAATCCATAAAGCCTTTGACCTTCATTTTTACACATGTTGTAGTTCTTTGAATCGTCTACCATAGACGCATAAAGATGTGAAACAGACATCAGATTTAGAAATCGACTTCAGAAATTATTTCTGATCAATCTAGAGGGAGCTTTGCTAATCAAAAAGTTTTAAATTACTACAAGTGAAGAAGTTGTGTCCAAGTAAAACATGGTTAGTGTGAATTCATGAAGTAAATCAATTTGGTGAAAAATACTTCACCTACTTTTTGAAACCTAAGATAAAGCACAAGTTTGGATATTGCAATTGTTAAACCATGGAAAGCAATTACAACAAGTTCATTGTGTTTTCAATTGACAATACTTATCAAGAAGGATGCAAATGAAAGTTTTGCTTGAATGTCCATGTGTAAGTGTAAAGAATTAAGTCGCATTGTCCTATTTACGTTGAATACACAACAAATTATGGTTGCTTTACGTTTGAAAATGGAATTCTTTGCAAAGGAAGTGATCTAAGCTATTTTGAAATCAAAATCACTAACTACACTTCACAACAAGTGTGAACGCATATACAAAAAAAAAGGGAAAAAGATGTGTCGGTTCTTCGTTTTGGGGTAATTCAAGCCTCGTCTCATTTCAATAAATCTACCCTTGACAAATCTTGAATTAGAGGACATCTATAGACACATTAATTTTGTTGGATTCAATTCACATTTATTTGAGTTGAATAATTAATTTGGATTGCGCAGATAAATAAGTCCAGTTTATTAAATTAAGTCCAAAGATCCATTTCATCTTGAAATCCAAATTCATGCCACTTGTCAGGTGACTTGGCATCCCAGTCAAGTTCAAGACCAACAAGAGAATGCCACATGTTCAAAGGATGTGGCCATTCTGATCATAGTTCAACAACCCATCAATTGATATGGCAATTCCGATCAAAGTTCAACAATCAATCAAAAGCAACCTTATCACATAATATTTGTGATAAACTTGAAGACTTGCATTAAACAATCAAAAAAAGGCAAGAGAGTTCATTTACACTTGGATTGCCTACCTCCTACAACTATAAATAGGAGGATTACATAATTTTTTTGAGGAAATTCTACGAGTATTGGAAAAATCTACAACATCAACTACATAGTTCTTCGAAAGAGTGGTCAATGTAGGTAAGTGCTTCTCGAAGGTCTACATCACCCTACATTCGAGAAATACACTACTGTCAGCCATCGAGACACAAAAAATATTATTCAGAGAGAAGAATCAAGAGAACAACGGAATCATACTAGCAAAGATTCATCAATAAAATTACTTTTTCTTTTATTTATTTTAATTGTAGTTAATTTTCAGCATTACAAAAACATGTTGCCAACAATAATATAATAAACCATATTCAATTATTATTTTCTTAATAATTGTGCCAAATCAAAATTTGACAACTGACAAGTAAAAGTGAATGGATGGAGTATCAAGTTATTCTTCTCTCTTTTATCTATTTTTTTTTTTTTTTTGCGGTAGAACTAGAACACAGTATTGCCTTATTCCCACAACCAATGATTTCTTTTTTTTTTTAAAAATGGACCATAGTCCACACATGAATCTTAGTTAAATGCATATGTGCATTTTGGATGATTACGAGTACGTATTGAGATTCTAGTTGTTAGGGATTTAGTTGAGTCATAAAACCGCAGCATGTGATGTAAGATTAAACACACATTAGGGGATCGAACACAACCACATATTAAAACCTAGTACTAGTAGTATTTAAGTGGAGAACGATAAAAAGACAAGCTCATTATACAACATCTCAACCCGTGCGCCAACCGACCCTTGAAAATTCCTTAGTCATAAGAAATAGAACGGAGTTTCTAAATTTATTGGTTAAATTAAAATTTCGAAAATGCCCAACTGTCATGGGCATAGTGAACTTTGCCATTCTTGATGGTTGATGAGGAGTCTTTCATCATGTATGTGTTCATCAATGACACACTCAACCACAACACAGGTAATTATAACTTGCTTGTTTCTTAGAGAGCCCTTCCACTTTGAAAACATTCAACTGTTGTTCCCTCTTCCCTTAGAAGTTGAGATCAAACATTCATCTGACCATTCTTGTTAATATCTTGTGGACCGATGACTCACATATCAGATATTAAACTGATAAGAACAGTCACTACACTTGATCTTACTCAAAGCCCGAGAAAGGTATATATAATTCATCTGACCATTCTTGTTAATATCTTGTGGACCGATGACTCACATATCAGATATTAAACTGATAAGAACAGTCACTACACTTGATCTTACTCAAAGCCCGAGAAAGGTATATATAATTCATCTGACCATTCTTGTTAATATCTTGTGGACCGATGACTCACATATCAGATATTAAACTGATAAGAACAGTCACTACACTTGATCTTACTCAAAGCCCGAGAAAGGTATATATAATTCATCTGACCATTCTTGTTAATATCTTGTGGACCGATGACTCACATATCAGATATTAAACTGATAAGAACAGTCACTACACTTGATCTTACTCAAAGCCCGAGAAAGGTATATATAATTCATCTGACCATTCTTAAAAACCTTTTGGTGCCACTCATGAATCAGATGGGCAAGATTTCTGCATCAAGTGGGAGAATTACACCCTCCCATCATGCATCTTAAGAAAGGGTTACACTCTACTTCCAGCTGAGCAGCAAACAATTTTGTGGCAAGGACAGCCCATGCGCATAACCGATTAATCTGTCGAACAACCATTATTATGCTACTTCTGACCTTTCCGAGCTAGAAATCTTTCCCGAGCAGCTTGTATCTTGCTGTCACGGTCTTCGGGTGGCTGAATTGCAGCAATTTCTTTCTTTTCCACAGTCGGAGTTACTTCTTGAATTTGGTTATCAGGCTGGCTAGATCCCCCACTGTTTCATGCACAAGAAAGTTCAAACAAATGGATAGGATAATATAAGTAAGTCGCCTCAAATTTCAAGCATATGTTACTTACCTCAGTTTGAACACATTTAGTTTCTCAAGCTTTGCTAAGATTGGCGCAACCCATCGCATCTCAACTGCACATACATTACGCATAAATGGGCGTGATGTAACTATTAATTCATGATAGACGACATAGTTTGGAAGCATCCCATCCTCATCTGATTTTAGCACAGAAGATGGATGGACCTGCACAATTAATAAGGAACTCAAGACTTGAAAGTTGAAATATACCAGTTCAAGTATAAAACTATAATTTTGGTACATCAATGACGCAGCAGACATAGAGCTCGTCCCGATATGATAACTGACTAAGGAGCACTTATATCATGTTTAGAGTTCATTTTCAAACTAGAGATGAAACTTTAGATCATTGCCTCTGATAAGTGGTGATTTTACCACTTATTCAGCGTCAATTACTTACACTTTTGTACTTCTTTTAGTATATATTTATGCTCAAGCACACGGAATTTGTCATGTTCAAACAAATCTATGTTTCAGCAGACAGAGATGCTGTCAAGGCTAAAAAGGATGAAAAAAAGATGGAATGACGAAATTGGAATCAAGATTGAAAATTGTGAAGTATGTGGTGTCTCGTAGATCTATGCAGCCAACAGAGGTCCCATCTGTGCATCCAACAGAGACTTATGCAACACCACTGAAAACACTAAAGAAAAAGTCCTGAAAATTGTCAAGTCTGAGTGAAGCTGTGTGAAGTTGTCTGCGTCCCACATAGAGGACCTGTGCGAGCCGCACACATCTATGCAATCTCGCAAAGGTGGACAGCCAGGGTGTTTTTGCCCGGAAATTCTAAGTCTTATCCAATTGTATAAATATTTAGGTTATTTTTAGTATCTTTTGCTTAAAAACACAAGAGAACAACACTGAGAGAATATTGTAGAGAAGCAACACAGGTCTGGAGGAATCCAATCTTGTGTTTGCTTTCAAACTCCTTCTTTTCTTCTCATGATTAATATGATGAGCTCTTATTGTTTATTCGTTTGTGTCGATCTTTAGCATGAACAGCTAAACACCTATCTAGGGTTTAAGCCAAATCTATGTTATTCATTTAATTTCTTGATTCCTTTGTGGTATAAGGTGTTAGTGTTTTACTTATTCCAATTGAATCTGTATGTAACCACTATGAACGAGGGAGTGCCCGCTCTTGGTTGTGCCCTTCCAATCTATCTTGGGAAAAAACATTGTATCTACGGTTTGATTCAATCAGCAGGTTGACTATGCCCAAAGAATTGGAGCGTTGAACCAATAGAGATCGTTCAGAATCATCACTACTGCATGCTTAACCAGGACTGGGCATATTTTGGTTCAAACTGAAAAAACCGACTGAACTGAACATTTTTTAATTTCCGTTTCAGTTTTTTGGTTTGATCGGTTTTTGGTTTTTGAAAATTTTAATTCGGTTAACTGAAAAACCGAATTTTATTGCAAGTCAATTTTTCATTCAACATAACATATTGGGTTAAGACTTAAAAGGGGTCGTTTGGTAGAGTGAATCTGAAAAATAATGCATGCATTAGCTTTATGTATTACTAGTATCTTGTTTTGTAGACTTTTTAAACCTATGTATAACTAATACACTCTATTTAGTATTAAGGTATGTATAACTAATACACTCTATTTAGTATCAAGGTATGTATAACTAATACTTGGAAATCGATGGTATTAATAATGCAAAGGATTTTAATGCATGCACTAGCATGATTTTTTTTTTTTGATGACTGTGGTGTCTAGACCAGCTTTCGCGCACCTTAACTAGTTCCATGGATACATACTACCTCTCACCAGCAACAGGTACCAGACATCACCAGGTAACTCTATCCACCAAGGCTAGGACAGATGGAAGAGTTTTGAACCTAAGATCTTAGGGTTCTCAACCACTTCATTAACCACTAGGCCACATCCTTGAGTGCCATGCATTAGCATGATAAAGACACAATAACCCTCAAAACCTTTTCCACATACTTTTCACTATATTTGTGGAGGGTATTTTTGTAAGCAAATATTTTTTATGGAAATTATGCAATGCATGTTATTATTAATACACTGCACAAGAAATAATCTTAGTATAACTAATACAAGCATTACTAATGCCAGCATTACTATTACACCATATTCGACACTATCCTTATACACACTACCAAACGGCCTCCAAGTGGTTTGCCAAATCCAATACATCCACATCCCAAATTAAAATAACCAACCAGTGTTATGAACGGCGAGCGCCATTCGCCAAAGGCGATATGGCGAGGCGAGGCGAGGCATTCTCGCCATTCTACACTGAGGCGCGGCGATATCAAAAAGGCGACGTAAATGGCGGCGCCATTTTGATTTTTTAATTTTTAAAAAGATTTAACTTAATAATATTAGTCAAAATTAGGGTTTTTTTTTCTATTTTCAAACTTTCAGTCGCGTTGCTGCTCCTTGCGATCTCTTCAGCCTCGCGTCTCTTTCTCCTTGCGATCTCTTCAGCCCTCGCGTCTCTTCTCCTTGCTGCCAGGTACCTCTTTTTTTTCTTCTTCTTCTTGAGTTCTGCCAGGACCCTTGATAATTCAAAGCCAAATAATTTGAATAATGTCAAACCAAGAACTAGAAATTATAATTCTTAAGAGTACAAGGACACACAAATTAAAAACTATCATATTTTATGCTACACAGAAATCCTAATGCCAAAATTGATGGTCATTGAATGTGCTAAAATCTCTTAAAAACTGAAAGCAAATAAGATAAGGGTCATTGAATGTTCTTGAGTTCTCTTCTTCAGTTCTTCTTCACATTTCTTCTTCTCTTCTTTTTTCGTTTCTTCTCTTCAGAGTTCAGTCTTCTTCGTTTTTTTTTTGTTCTTTCTTTTTGAGATACTGAGATACAGTAGCTT